ACACTTCGAACTCCAAGCTATCTGTGGATCCATCGTCAGCGTTACCTTGAATTCCGAAGCTGGATAGGATAGTAACTGTTTGGCAATATCATGTGTACATTTTACTTCTGCCTTCAACGTTGCATCGTCGAACTCGTGATTTCGGTCAACTCCCTGAAATTGCCATTTGGTGTTTCAGCTTATAGCTTTTGGAGGATCTTCACGGTCATCGTTGAAATTGTGCAGTTTACACATTAAGTGCTAGACAAACTAAAAAATAAAGAAAAAAAGAGAAAGTTGAATGAAACAGGGATTTCGACACCTTCGCGTACAGCGCCGCCGGTGTTGCATGAGTGATGCGGGTCGTAGTCACAAATCCCACTCCCATACCTGAAAATCGAAAGCTGATCGCAGTAGTATTCAACCGTCTGATAGCCACAAACGTAGCTCAGAACCCACAAGATTTTGTTCTATTCAGACGCTTGACAAGGTTGTCATATAAATTTCATTTGGCTAACGTTCTGACACCTGTATCTTCCTCATAGAGGGATCCTATGACAGTTAGTGGCGAGCATGAGTAGCGTGTCTTCAGGTGGCAGATAGGGAGTTAATAGTGGATCAAAAAGACTTTATGCTTCCCAGAGATGCAGGTGGATCTTGCGCCGATTTGACGCATACCTTCTGTGCCTACGACTACGTGTTTATGCATGCGTGCGTGGATGCGTTCAAGTTTATACGGTTTGTATTCTACGAGTCAATTCTGCCGAAAGAACTCGAAATCAAGTGATAAGGAATCATACGGGAGGCGGTAGACATTGCCCATAACAAATAAGCTACTCTGCCAGCTTTGGTAATGACTAACAAGCTGCCCATGAATATATACGCCCCATGTTCAAAGCACGAAAAGTACCAAATGTTAAATACAGTACAACAAGCAGGCATCATTGCATGGTCCCAAAAGAGCCCCCGATAAGGCAGCCTTGGGTAGCATGAGGGTAGGACAAGTACGGAAAGGTGCTTAAATTCTAAGCTAAAATCGGAAAGGACTAAGGTGACGATCTGTACCTACAATGTACGCTCACTTGCATATAAGTCCTCGATTGAGGACATGATCTTGCAGGCAAGAATGATAAGGTGCGACGTCATCGAACTGGTTTACACGGAAAGACGCCACCCATTCAACGCCGTTTATGACACCCGAGAAGAATTGTTCCTCGGAATATGCGATAGTTGAGGAGTCGGCGACGCCAGCATTCTTGTGAACACAAATTTGTCGTGAATATCAACTTATTCGAACAACTCGAATCAGGCCTTTACTACTGAAGCGATGTAGATCAATACCGGGTTTGACAATATTCGTTGCCTACGCACCGATATCATATTATGGCGAAGATGAAGTCGAGACACTCTATATGGACTTGGAGAAGTTCTACAGAAAAGAACATACATCGTTTAAGAACATCATTGGAAATTTTAATGCTAAGATTAGACGCAGAAGAACATCTAAAGAACGTCATGTTGGAACCCACAGATGAGAATGGAACGAGCAGGGTGAGCGGCTCTCTGAGTTTATAAAGACGACCAGAACCATTCATAGTAACTCACAACTCCAGAAGCCGCACTCTCAATACTGGAAGGTGGAGTCTTTTAATGGAGAGTAGCATAAAGAATCAGACTATATCATGGTAGATCGAAGGTTTTGCACAACCGATATCACTATTATCCCAAAATTCTACACGAGATCAGACAATAGCCTCCTTCGTGCAAAATTTCATTTCTCACCTAAAGGAGAAAGATCCACTGAGTCCAAAAAACGATTTCTCAAAACCACAAAAAACTGGGATTTATTCAGTTCGTTTGTCGGCCGTTGGGAAGACTCCGTTCTTGATAAGGTCGATGAGAAATACAACTGCCGCACACAATACCTTCACTCTAGATCACTCAGTGTTATAGAGCGAGTAGCCAAAAGGACTATCCTTGGAGTATTTCGCATTGTTCAATTGAGGAAGGGAATTCGATTCATTGTTCTATGTGAGCGATCAAAAATCAAACACGCCGTTCTGTAGGATGAGGTGGACCGTACACGTAATGCATATGAACGACAACCGATTGGCAAGAGCCGTCAGTGACTGGATTCCTCGGGGTGGCGAACGCACTGTAGGAAGACTACAGACTTGATGATCAGAGTTCTGCACGAAAATGCCAGAAAAAAGATATAATGCTCAATGAGCCCGTAAAGTGAGCAGAATTCTCTTGACTACTCTTGCACGCGGCAGCGAGAAATGGAGGACTTACTGACCCCTTCTCGAGTAGCTCGACAATCAGCGGGACAACAAGTGATAGAGGTGATAGAGATAAACACTTCGACGTATTCGCTTTCGTCAGAGCACTACGATGATTCGAGTCGACTGTTGACAGCGGCTACATCGAGAACAACTGAGCAGAATGTAGCATCGCACAAGTGAACTGTATTCATGCAATAGTGCCGTTTCGTTTTGTACCGAATGTTTCTCGTCCATGGAATCAGCTGTCCTCCCTGCAGTTTTACAGGATTTAGAACAGCTCCTGGTTGTTAGGCATCTAATATGTTTTTATGGCGACAATCGCTCCTGAAGCCGCCGGAAAAAGTATTTACATATTTCTAAATTTACTATACAGTTCTAAATGCGTTGCAGGCACGGGTACTAAACGTGTGGGCGCGTGAAACATAGTGGTTCGAGGTGCCCAACGTTAAACATGTGGACGTTAGTTCGATCCTGCGTGCAGCACTCGCCATGTCATTCACTTCTCCAGGGTCGGTAAATTTACACCGGGCTTGTCTGAGAGGGTAAAAGCATTGAGTTGACACAACCATGGTTCACTGTGAGTCACTCTACAGGCCAGGTACGCGTTCAATCACCTCTAACAATGTTTGGTGAAGTCTAATGCATGGCGCAAGCCCTAGGGATTGATCAACTCGGAAAGCTTTCTTTTTTGAATGCTAATAAAATAGGAAAAATGATGTATTTAGGTATTGGGAAACCTTCGATTGGAATCTGCGTGGATCGTTTTGGCAGGTCAGTAGTTGGACAGAATTTTTATTAATTTATTGTTCAAATAAGCTACACATCGAACAGTCGCACGCGCTAGCAATCGAGCTCCGGAATAAAAACTTCGATTTGAACGACCGAACACCACTTCTCGTCAGCACCAATCAAGACGTTTTTTATTCATAGAAGATGTCATCGACGAACTGAAACGAGGGCGTTAGCACTTCATTTAACAATTCACTTTATCTCCTTCGAACCGAGATATATTAAAAACTTGGCACTCTTTGTCATGTTTAGATCTCGAATAGATTGATGGCAAGGTCTTGTACCGCGACTCTAGGTGATAGATAAAATAATGGACAAAACGTCTGACGTTGATCGATCCCTCATGGACGAACCATGCATAAGACTTCATTAAGCACTCTGATGAAGATTAAATGCATATTTACCTAAAGAATCGTTTGCGAGAGCGTACCGTGCGGCAGTAAATAAAAGGGTTAAGATTGTGATTATAACTAAGCCTCAGCTTAACTGGGTTCAATGCCGATTTGGGCTCTCCAGATCAATCCTGTTAACGGGTGATTGCTGATGGCAAAAAGATCGATAGAACTAGCTGAGAGACAGGCAAAACGAAGGACCTGGATGGTGTGGTGGTGAAGTGCGCTGCTATCCGGTAAGGACAACAGCGCGGGTTCGTTCCCCACCGCATACACCTGCGGTCCGGAGTTTTGCAAATATCTCAGCATTATATACAAGTAGTTGTTAACTCCAAAAATAATCCCCATGCATGCTCCGGTTCAGCGTGATAAGCTTCTCATATATGTCCCCCACCCTTATGTTAATTTCGCCTTGTTACCCATGAGCTGTTTTGTGGAAAATAATACGAGATTTCGAACAAAAACTGCGGCGTTTTTCTTTTTTTTTTTGAACAGAGCCCACCAGACAGCTTAAAGCCACTACAAGAAAAAATCGCGGCTGTCAGAATGAATGAAGAATGAAGCTACTTTGCGCTTGACGAGATTACAGATGGTATAGTTTAGGCAGAGAATGGGCGCACCTTTTTGAAGAATGCCTTCCACGATTCCATCGGTGACATGAAGTTCGGACACGTTTGTACATTTTTCTTTCACAATAGGCTTCGTTCCCAATGTTCCCGTATTCACCTAAACTATTATCATATAGATATAGAGCAAGGACATAGAAAATTACAAATTCATGCCGAGCACATATTTTGTAGAGCATTCGAGGTTTTTCAATATATCTGTCAAAAGAATGTCCTCATTTTGCGTGGTGGTAACATTAGCCTTGATATTTCGGCTGCCTTGAACAGTGTGGTTTGAAAAATTCGTTTTAAAATAGGTTTCTTGAAAAAGTTTTGTATAAAGAATAGCTTTCTACGCACCAGAACTGTAAGTCTAGAACATCTATGTTGCACGAGGGACGAATTGAATGCAGAAGTATTCCAAATAAGCACTTTGGGGTAAAGTAAGGAATGAATAGTTATGAATTTAAGTCAATGCATACAGTCCACTTTGTACAACCATAATATCAATATATCTCTTAAAATGCTGAAAATCAATTTCACAATTTAGCGGTTGTCTGTGGGTTTAGGATGCCGCTTGCACGTTTCGATTCATTAAGGTCTAAACGCTGCTGATTCTGATGCTCCGAGATACGATTTAATATATTCTAAACAATTTAGACCATAGTGGATCCAAGAAATGTTTATTTATTCTCTTTAAATGCAGAAAATCAAATTTACAGTTTAGCGGCTGTCTGTGAATTTAGGGTGCCGCTTGCGCGTTTCGATTCATTAAGGTCTAAACGCTGCTTATTCTGATGCTCCGAGATATTATATATATTATATGTGAGATATATGAGATATATATTATATGTAATACTGAACGAATCCAGAACTGTATCACGAGCATTTGCAGGTGTTCACTATAGGAGGATGTATACCCAATGCCTCTTACTCTGTTGTTATGGTGATATCGTCACGTGAATCTCACCTTCCATCCTGTGAAGAGCGCCATTGCACCAGCTGCTGAGTCCGTAACGTGATTGCTTAAGGAACTCGTCTGAATGCCATTAGTTAGAACCATTTCCTTGAAACTTTTCACTATGGAAATATTTTTGTTCGTTCTAGAACCGACTTAATTTTTTCTGCTTCCTACGCTAAATACTGCTGTGTACCTAAAAATCTATGGAGTTGCTTGACTAAGAAAATAAGAAAGGATGGGTCGATGAGTAGCACATGGAAATTGATAGAGCAATCAGGCAAGAAAGACAAAATCTCCTTTTTCGGTCAAGATAAGGCACCCAAAGAATTGATTTATTTCACTATCATAGGACATTCTCACTAATGGTGACCATTGAGACGGTTGTAAGAGAAGACAAACACTTTTGAAAATTTTTAAAATAAAAGCTCTTGTGATCAACATAGTGATAGAACGTAAGATATGACCTTAACGAGACCCGCACTATGAAAACTCTCGAAATAAAGTGGCTCGTTTAGATAATGTCTGCCGGCTCTTTGATTTTTGTTGATCCTGGCGCTGGTCACTGTTGCGATTCCCATTCCATCACCGACGAATACAATTACATTTTTTGGTGGTGTCACTGGAAGGATAACTACCAATTTTATTCGAACACGTAACTCTTTCCAAAACTGCTGATTTTCAATTGTTTTATTTTATCGCAAGTTACAAATCAAAAACATTAACAAGAAAAATCATCTTTGAAAAAAGAGTGGGTGAAGCCACTGTACGAGACCATGTCGGCCGAGCCGTAGCTGCAGCATGAATTGGCCTCAATGCGCAATTCCGATCTCATTTTTTAATTAAAATGCTAGAAAGCAATGCTTAAAATAAAAACGACGCCTGCAACTGAACTATTTGAGATTTCTCACATAGCGGCGACACAGTAAACACATATTCCAGAAAGGAAGGAAACAACGAAATTTAAAATTAAGAAATAAACTCAACCCTTTTATTTACTGCCTTTTTCTTTTTTTGGCAGGGTATGTTGCGAAATATAACTCGTATATAGTGTTGAGGTATTTGCAAAACTCCGGACCACAGGTGTATGCGGTGGGGAACGAACGCGCGCTATTATCCTTTCCGGAGAGTAGCACACTTCACCACATCACCATCCGAGTCCTTCGTTTTGCCTGTCGCTCAGCTAGCTAGTTAAAAGGGTTAAGATTGTGATTATAACTAAGCCTCAGGTTAACTGGGTTCAATGCCGATTTGGGCTCCCCAGATCAATCCCGTTAAGGGGTGATTGCTGATAGCAAAAGATCAATAGAACTAGCTGAGAGGCAGGCAAAACGAAGGACTCGGATGGTGTGGTGGTGAAGTGCGCTACTCCCCGGAAAGGACAATAGCGCGCGTTCGTTCCCCACCGCATACACCTGCGGTGCGGAGTTTTGCAAATACCTCAGCATTATTTACGAGTTAAGAATAAATCCGTATATCGTCAACAAAAGGTCGCAGAATTTTCCTACAGCTGTCCACAAAAAAATCGCTTCATGTCGGTCATTCAGCTAAAGTTTGTAAAAAAAAAATTAGAAATCGTTCAAAAGACCAGACTCGTCTAAGCGTAATAGGCTTCGCTGAGAAGTTTTCTAGGACTTAGTTAACCTTTTCAATGAAGCTTTATAGAGTAAGTCTTACCACCAATGAGATATGGGTTTAACCGCAGTTTCCGATCAATGTGCGCCTGAGCAATCCTATTCCAAAATTGAATATCAGGTATATTTCCTAAAAATTTCCTATATAACTGAACAGGATAGATAGAAAACAACTTTTAAGTGGTTCCTTTTGTTCGCTAGCACAAAACGAAGAAATCGTAACCGAAGACCGAAACACATTAAATGTTCTATTATATGGCAAAGCTTCGTACTTGGAGTTTCATGAGGGGTTGGTTGCATAACAACAGATATTTGTGGAAGGCAGAGTAGAAATAAAACCCAGATGAGCATCTGAAAGACCACAGTTGTAAATTGAATAGCGCAAATCAGAGGCAGGATTGAACGAACAGCTGACGATTTCATTTCAGTCGAGCAACTTTGCACGTTGAAAATTTCTTATTCATTTCTACTTAACGATACCCGTCATCTCATCTTACACTTCCGATGACAAGTACTTCTTTCACCCGATTCGTTTTCCTCGCATTCATTGTCCACAATGGTCTTCGAACATTTCGCGTGTTGCTTCGGCTGCTGCTTAAGGAATTCGTCTTCTTTATGGGTACGTAAAGTGCTGGTCAAGTCGATTCTCCTTGGAATCTTTGAAATAGTCGGGCTAGGGCGTTTCCACATGGATTGAAGCAGATCGTTGTGGAAGGAGTGGAACTAGCGCGCTTTTGCTTCCTGATCGACGGCATCATTAACCACTGTGCTATCTCCACACCCATCGACATCGGAAAATTAACGTGAACGACTATAATAAACAGCAAGGCTTTGCTTTACCAGAATACGACTCGAAATAGGAAGTAGAAATAAAACAAACCAACTTCAAACCTTCAAACTAAAACAGTAAGAGAAGAAATTTCTGTCGGCTTTTCGAAGCATTCTAAAGTTAGTGGATAATACCCATCGTCTTAACAACTGATTCTGCGTAATAAAAAAGCTTTTGGCCCTACATTCTATCGACGTTAAAACGGAACATGTCCTACAATGTTCATGTTGTGGGACAATAGTAGCACAGCGTTAGAGATGCCGTCCAGTAATATGCAGAAAAACCTGGCCTGAACGCACATCCTCTGGTCAGCGAAAGCTCTCTATCTCTTCGGGGTCTGAGAATTGGCAGCAGACTTGTCTAGAAAGTACTCTCTCTGATCGACGAAGGGTAGTGATTGTACGTGATAAAGACCTACAAAGGCCCTAGCATAATTATCACCCCGCGGATTTACGGAGAATCGACTCAATCAGCAATCACTAAGCGGCATTCATAAAGAAGACCAGAAATCCTCGAACAACAGATGAACCCATGAGCAAGTCCGCCGGCCATCGTGAATGATCGATGGGAAGAAAAAATCGGATGCCAGCAATGATTTCTAGTCACTTGAAATAAAAAGGAGTAAAAATTGTTTTGTGGTAAACAAGTAGATTGGCCGATTGATGATCGACTAATGGGAAAATGAGGAAAGTACTAGCAGTTAATGGTTGCGATTCTCGCTGACAGCGTTCTATAAGAAGTATAAAAATGTGAAAGGAAGGACTTATAGAAAGTGCCAGGGAAATAATGGATAATAGCACTAGTTTTCACTGCCGATGAAATTTTAGCGTCGAATGGACGATATTTTGGAAAGTGAATAAATACTGTTTCATGACATAAGGAGTCACAAAAGACGTTATGTGCTCAAATAAAGGGGCGTCGTATGTGTGCGGGATCCGTGAACGACATGACAGTCCCTGACACAGCGACGACAGGGCACGGCAGTCGGTCGCCGTTCGAAAGGACGCCGCCCTGAGAGAGAATAGCCGTGACCCAACGGAAACCGATGTGTACCACAACAGCCCAACAATAGGAAAGTTTCGACGACGGGCCCACAGCAGAATGAAGTCCATCACCACTGAGTGGATGGAACGTCCAGGTCAGCCTCGCTGAAAATCTGAAAGAAATCGTCAACTCGAGGTGTCCCTTTGGCAAAATCATCAACTGGAATCCTCTCGCTCAAGCTTACACTGAAGAAAACAATCGGGTGTCACCAAAAATATAGTTTTCGCAAAATATTGTTTAAAATATTCTCAAACTGCCACAGGCAAACAGTGGATTGTGCTTCGAGCAGTATTTCTTATACGACAGTGTACATTTCTACTCCAATACGGGACTCAGTTATTTAGTATCAGGTGGTTCAGAAATAGATGAGCGTTTTTAACCATATTATTCAAAATGTCATAACTTGATTGAAATAAAATTTTATTAGTCTAAATAAAAACCATTCAAATCTACACATTTTTGCCAAGAAAACAAGTTTATTTATTCCAGTTGCATAAAATTCTGGAGTTCTGGAAGCGATGAATTCGTTGAAGGCATTTTTGCGTCATCGTGATTGGTGAAGCATTTCTCGCACAGGAAGTTCTCAAGACTCTTACGAAGTGATAATCGGTAGGCAAGGGGTCTGATGAATATGGCGAATGAGCCAAAGTTTCGTTGCCCAATTCGTTCAACTTCCGCAGCTCTGGCTCCGCAACGAGAGGCCGGGAGTTGTCGTGGAGAAGTATTGTTCCTTTTCTGTCGACGTATTACGTCGATTAGCTGGAAAACTTTTCTACAGTGATCGTTTCGCCTGGATTCAAAATGCTGCTATGAATCAGCCCAGCTGGAAACCACCAAACAGTAACCATAACCTTTTATTGGTACATTTTCGGCTTTGGGAAGTGCTGTGTAGCCTGATCGCAATCCAACTGTTGAGTTGAACGTCGCCGGCTGTCCTACAGAATCCACTTCTCATCGCACGTCACAATTCGGTCAAGAAAAGGGTTTTTTGTTTTTGATCTTTTAAAATTTTTTGTCAAGTTTAGAAATTTTTGTTGCTGAGAATAAGAGCAAAAGACACTTCGGAACGGTTAAATTTTTGACTATCGTTTAATTCGTACGGCACCCACTTATCGAATTCTTTTTGTCTTTCATGTGCGATTCAAGTGAGTGGAAACTGTTCCTGTACTTACGCCAAGCAGTTCTGCAGGCTCTCGAACAGTTGTTCGCGCGTTTGCTTCCATTAGTGCCTTCAATTCACCGTCGTCAAGTTTATTGTTACGTCTGTGACTTTACTTGCCTTCGAGGTCGAAATCACTAGATCGGGATTTCCGGAATCATGTCCGCACTGTTGATTCACCAACACTATCTCGACTCTAAACTTCATTAATGTTTCGAGCGGTCTGTGCTGCACTACGGCCGACTTTGAACTCATAGACGAATATTCGACGAAAACTCGCTTTCGGAATCTAAAATTGCAGAGCTCAAAATAGGCAAAAAAAGAAGTCAAAGCCGAAACAGTGCTCATCGAATATCAAAATACGTGCTAACAATCTCGTGTCACGTCAGAACAGAAAAGTCCGTCAGATAATATAACGGATAAAAGGATAACGCTCTTG